TGTATCAAATCTGTTCTTCAGATGATCCCTAAATTCAGGTGGGATATATTCAAGGTCATATTTTGGCTCTTGTGGACTTGTTTTCATTCTCTTCAGCTTCAGAATGAATTTGCATATGAGTAATTGATGATTTGTTCCACAGTCTGCCCTGGCCTTGTTTTAAATAATGATATAGAGCTTTTCCATCGTCTCTTTCCACAGATGTAGTCAATTTGATTTCTATGTATTCCATCTGGTGAGGTACATGTTTATAGTCATCTCTTATGTTGTCTAAAGAAGATATTTGAAATGAACAAATCATTGGTTTTGCAGAATCCTATCATGTGTTCTCCAGCATCCTTTCTATCACCAAGGCCATATTTTCCAACTACTGATCCTTCCTCTTTGCTCCCAACTTTTGCATGTTTGGTAGTGTATGCATATTTATGCCATGCATTGTATTCATTGATGGTCTTCATAGTTTTAGGTTTTACATTTAAGTTTTTGATCCATCTTGAGTAAAGGTCTCTTTACTTTTCATATAAAGTTGGTAATTGGTTTTTGCATCTCTTTAAAGAATGATGTTGGAATCTGGATTGCAATTATATTATATATGTAGATTACTTTGGACAGTATTGACATTTTCACAGTGTTATATCTTTTTATCCATGAGCATAGTATATCTTGCCATTTTGTTGGTTTCTTTAGGTCATTTTTTAGTAGTGTTTTGTAGTTTTCTTAGTATAGGTCTTTTGTTTCTCTGGTTTGATTTATTCCTAAGTATTTTGTCTTTTGTGTGGCTGTTGTAATTGGTAATGTTTTCTTAATTTCCTTTTGGAGCTCTTTTAGTACATATTGTCAGGAGGGGCCATTCATTGGAGAAGGATATTCTTTAAACAGGAGAAAAAATTAATAAATTACAGGGTCACATATTGTTCTGTATATAGTTGTTGTTGTTAGGTGCCATCGAGTTGGTATTGACTCATAGTGACCCTATGTTCAACAGAACGAAACACTGTCCAGTCCTGGGCCAACCTTATAATTGTTGCCATGCTTGCGCCCATTGATGCTACCACTTGGCCATTCCATCTCACTGGGGGTCTTCCTCTTTTTCTCTGACCTTCCATGTTACCAAGCATGATATCCTTCTCCAGTGAATGGCCCTTCCTGACAATATGTCCAAAGTATGAGAGATGGCCAAAGTTTGGCCATCCTGTCCTCCAAGGAGCAGTCTGGCTGCACTTCCTCCAACACAGATCTGTTTGTTCTTTCAACAGCCCATGGCACTTTCAATATTCTCCTTCAACACCATAACTCAAATGCATCAGTTCTTCTATGGTCTTCCTTATTCACTGTCCAGCTTTCACATGCATATGAGGTTACTGAAAATATCATGGCTTGGGTCAGGCACACCTTAGTCCTCAAGCTGACATCTTTGCTCTTCAACACTTTAAAAAGGTCTTGTGCAGCAGATTTGCCTAGTGCAATATATTGTTTGAATTCCTGTATATGGTAGTTGCTCAAAAAAAGCTTGTTTTTGATTCACAGTGTGTAGTATAATAGATGGTAGAACATTGTTACAATAAACTAGCCCAACCTTAATTGAAAAATGATTATTCATGTATGACATGTAACTGAAAATGGCTAATTTTCTTGTCCAATATGTTTATGTAAGTAAGTTAAGTCTCTCCATTCATTCTGCATTTAATGGATGCCCACTATGTACCACCCACTGTGATAGGCTTTCAGCACACAAATATGGACAAGGTAACATCTTTCCAATTACTGAAAGACTCAGGGAGACAGTAGACCAGTGGGTGGAAAGTCATAGAACAATATGATATGGACTCTTTGCCAGTTCCAAATTTTCTTTCCTTTTCACTGTGTTCTTCTTACTTTAGTAAGCTTACTACTAAGGCAATGGGGAGGTATTGGCAATGGAATACAGAGGCAAAGGCTTTATCAGCAGAATAATTAGTGCCTTGTAGAATGAATCTGAAAGATTTAGGCCTGTCTACCTAAACACAGGAAATGATTCTGTCCTAAGAGATCTTAGGAGTCTCTTGTCAGTGAGATTGCTATTGGGATTTGGGGTACAGAGAACACTAGGTAACATTACAATATCAAATGACTGTCTATAAAATTTCTGTGCAATGTTTTGGCAGAAATTTATTATTTTTAATAAAAATATCCCTGTAGTTAGTTATTTGTTGTTAAGTGTCATCGAGTCGATTCCAACCAATAGCAACCCTATATAGGGTTTCCAAGGAGCAGCTGGTGAGCTTGCACCACTGTTCTTGCAGTTCAAATGACTTTGCAGTCTGATGCATTAGCCCACAGTGCCACACCAGGACTCTGTAGTTAGTTACAGCACACAAAAAATTTCTTTATAAGCCCAGCCTACATGTATTAGTATATCTACAGGGCAAAAACTATGCTAATTTATTTTGGTAAACTTCTAAGGTGCTTGGGGTCCTGGTGTGGTTCCGTAGGATAAGCACTGGGCTTCTAACTGTAAGGTTGGAGGTTCAATCCCACCAGCCGCTCCATGGAAACTCTATACAGTATTACTGCAAGTCAGAACTGACTTAACAGTACTTAACAACAACAATGTGCTCAGGTCAGACCTGTCTTTATTACCCAATTACAATAATGTTTCAAATCATGTGGTTTTGACTGTACATGCTATCAGTATGTGTTGTTTTGTTACAGTTGATGTTTTTATAGTCTTTGATTCAGTCTAATTTTATGGCATTTTAGCTACAATAATGTGTTAATTATTTGTAACTGCAAACCTCTATCAAGAATTTTTTTGAGACTGATGTAGTTATTAAAAGAAAAGGAGAAAAAGTAAAGAAGACTTCTACTTAGTTATTAATAATACTATAACTAATAATGTTGTAATTCCATGTAGAAAGATTTTACAAACCAATTTTGTTGTTTGTATTCATGTAATGTAAGAAATACTATCTGTAAGCAACTTACAACTATTTATCATATGTTATGCTATGATTAAAAGTGATAAAAAAAAAATTACTAAAGATTCTGTATGGTCTCAGATGGACGTGTGTGTGGCAATTACTGAATTGGGTGACCTAACTCTACTGACACCACTGTCCTGGGTGGTACAAAAGTTAACATGCTCAGCTGCTAAATGGAAGGTTGATAGGTTGAGTCCACCCAGAAGCATCTGAGAAGAAAAGCCTTGTGATCTACTTCTGAAAACTCAGCCACTGAAAGCCCTATGGAGCACAGTTCTACTCTGAGACACATGAGGTCACCGTGAGTAGGCGTCAACTCAATGGTAACTGGTTTAAGAGACTTTGGGCCACTCTTTTACGATGGGGTGTCTTGAGAATGGAGGCTCTGACCGTGGCAAAGGTAAGAGGGTTAGAAAAGACCTGTGAGGAGATGGTGAAAAACAGGAGGAAATGAACTCCTCAATTCCCACTAGAGCTGGTTCTGCATCAGTTGAAAAGTAACATAGTGGGAAAAATAAAGAAATACTACCAGTGTTCATGATTGGCCTATAGTGAGCTTGTTTGTTAGTCCCTTAGATGTTGAAAGCATGAATGACAGTTCATACTGAAGTGGAGGTGTGCCCTGTATCCCACAGAATGGAGGAAGTACCCAGTGCAGGCTGCACAGCAGGTGTGGAAGGACAACACATGTCTTAGAAAGCCGTTGTTGTTGTTGTTGTTGTCAAGTGCCATCGAGTCAATTTCTGACCCATAGCGACCCTGTATAGGGTTTCCAAGGAGTAGCTGGTGAGCGGTTAGGAATCTGCAATTTGCTCAGTAAAACTTAGGCATAGTGTGTCCAAAGAAGCTGGCAGCGAAGAAAGCGCTAACTCCATTTCAGTACTTTCTTATTGAATGACAGCTAATTACCATGATTGCTCTTGCCCTGGACAGATTTAAGGGGCAGGAAGGACAGCTCAGTGCTGAGCAAAAGATCCTCCTTTTGTGGATGAGGAGAAAAGGAAAGGGTGGGCTGAGCAGTCTTCCTCAGGCATAGAGTCCATGGGTGACAGAGATTTATAATATTCATCTTCTCCATCAAGCACTTTGATTTGGCTGCAGTAACAAAAAATAAAAAAAGAGAGAGAGAGAATGTTTTCAACAGAAAAAGAAAACAAACGCCGGAGTTGTCACCAAGTGATTGAAGCTGCCTGAGTGGATGGAACATGGCTGGGTCCCAACACTCTAAGGAAAGATGACTTAGGGTAGCTTAGGGTCTCCCAGTACTCCCAGAGGAACTGAGGTCTGAACCCCTCTGGGTCACATACTGGTAATGAACTCATTGTAGTAACTCTGGAAATTGTGATTATATTGCAAGTTGGTTTATGTGAAATGAATTGTCTATCTCTGGTTCCCTCCAGATGAGAAAGCAACCTTTATGACCTTCCCCAGTTTTCAAACTAGCACCAATGATCTACTTCATTACTATTCAAAATCAAAATGCTAGCAATCAAATGAGCCACAAAATCCTGGGTATCCTCTAACCACAGAGAAAGTTTTTCTTTGTATATGTTTAAGGCTTGAGTAGGATAATGTGGGGAAATGGTTTATCATGCAGTTTGGGGCATGTTCTTATTTGTGGAAGGAGAGTTTTTAGACAACCCTTGACCTGTCTCCACTTATGAGGTAAGTCCAATTCTCTGGAATAATTATAAAAAATAACATTTGCCTTCAGGTGACCATTTCAACCTTTCGGACAGAATGGATTCAAATTTTGTATGCTAGCTACTGTGAAGAGTAGTTTCCCATGCCAATAATGTTAGGGCTATCCTGATTGCACTTTTTTAGAGGCCTCTCTGGAAAGTTTGCATTTTCTGTAATATCACAAAGGACCCCCTTCTGTTTACAGTTGCTTAGAACTAAGAAGACAGATATTTACCCAAGTTTTCTTGGCTTCCTTTTGCTCCCTTGATATTCTAGAGTTCCCTGTGGAGAGGGCCAAGAACACACAGTCAAAGCAAAGCAGCAAGTCGTTAATTTTTAATTCAAAGTGATTTTGTGTTGAATGCAAGCAGATGCTGATAATATCAGAAGTCACAGCATAATTTTTTTGATCAAAGGGCTCAAGTGAGCCTGATGAAGCATGCATCTTGCTCGTCTTTGATAAACCACATCAATTATTCACCGTGAAGGCAGACATCCTGACATGAAAGCAACAGATAAAGAGCCTAAGCACATGTTTCAGAGAAGAGTATAAGAGAGTGGGGGTGGGGCTGGGGGGCTGGAACAGGTATTAATAACAGAATTATTAACTGGAAACAAAGCCAGCGAAACAGCTTCATGGTCACTTTGAACTCACATTTAGCTGGCTATAGTACATGGTATCCTCAGGGCTATTCAATATTTTGGGCTGTTGACATCGTCGGCGAGGTGTTCTCTGCTTTTGTGCAAGACCATTTTCTGAATCTGCAACAAGAGAGCAAAACTTTATTGTAAGCCATCCCAGTTGTTGGGAAAACCAAGGGGAAAACTGGCCAATGTCCCTGTCTACATCTTCACATAAATGCACAAAAAAACTGTGCCTCATTTTAGTGGCCATTTGTTAGCAGCTTTATTCTTAGTGGCTAGTAGTAGGAAAAATGTCATGTGGTGCTGTGGGTTAATGTATCAGACTGCAAAGTCGTTTGAATCGCAAGGTCAGAGGTTCAAGCTCACCAGTCGCTCCTTGGAAAATCTATACAAGGTCGCTAGGGGTCGGAATTGACTCCACAGCACTTAACAACAACAACAGCAACCACACCCACACCCACACAGAGGAATTTCTAAGTATAAACAAGTTCCCTGGCTGTAAATTTTCCTTCATCTTTCTTAATCAGGAGTCAAGAGTGTCAGAAAGCAAATTGGTTTGTCCACATTGATAAAAAGGGGTTATTGTTAAGTGCTGTCGAGTCAATTCCAAGCCATAGCGACACTATATAGGGTTTCCAAGGAGCAGCTGGTGAGCTTGAACCACCGACCTTACAGTTCAAACGACTTTGCAGTCTGACACATTAGCCCACAGTGCCACACCAGGACTCCAAAGTGGGGTTGGTGGGATGGTGGTCAGCGTTTATAGAGTCCCCTCTTGCTCAAATAACTCAGTTATGACAATGAAGGCAATCTGGGATGATTTGTAACACATCCTACAGTGAGGGTTAAAAGACATCTGGAGCACACACACTCTTGAGTAGACAAAAGAAAGCAAACCTGTTGGTGGGAGAATTTTTTTTGGGGGGTGGGTGGGAATGGCTTGCACTAGTATTTACTGAAACACTTTAAACAATACCATCGATCCCTGCAATCTCCGGAAATGGAAGTAAGGAGAAAAGAAAAGGATGATTGTTCTCCATGTTAATCCTGGTTTCAGAACCGTGGACCAAGAATGCATTGAAGATTATGAAACCATGTGTCAGATGAAGTCATAATTCATTTCCCTTCCAAGAAAATGATTGTCCTGGAATCTGTTATCCTTTGGGACTATAACTATATCTGAATCAGGATTCAGCACTGATAACTTCTTGCCAATACACACACACACACAACTGCCATAAAGTATTGTTCATGAATGTCATCATCGAGAGAAGAGGTGTCACTTTCATGGATTGGAAAATTAATCATTAGCTATTTATTAAGATAATATAATAACTATTAACTGATCATGGAGTCCTGGTATGGTGCTGTAGGATAAGCAGTAGACCATAAGTTCAGGTTGAACCTCGAGGTCGGCAGTTCAAACCCACCAGCCTCTCCTCAAGAAACTCTATACAGGGTCACTATGAGTTGGAACCTACTTGACAGCACTTAACAACAACAACAACATTAGCGAATCACAAACTAATGATTACTATTATAATTATTAATTGAAAAGAGCTGGAGATTTATGATTGTAATTCTATTTTAACTTCAATAGGTCATTCCTGCTATTTAAAGAAATTGGCGGAAGGCCTCAGCAATGACCCTTATGGATAGCAAATGATCAGTTTCTTTAAGTATGAAGTTTTGCATCTTGATTGTTTTTGAAGTGGGATATAGCTGTGTTTGGCCAAGACTATGAGAATTATACAAGATTTTAGAAACTGTCTAAGTGCCTATTTTTATCCCACGGAAGAAACTGAGGCCTGTAAGTGTTAAATGGCTCATCCAGATCAAGTAGCAGAGGGGGTACACAATCCTAGATCTTTGGCCTTCCGCTTTTTTTTTTTTTTCTTTTTTTTTTAATTATAGCATACTGTCTTCCTCAACAAGGAACATCTTTTTAAAGTCAAAGTGGTAGAAATGAAGTTTCAATGAAGAAACAGTAATCAATCTAGCAAAATTATGTTGCTTACAGAGAGTTCCAATAGATTAACATCCCTTTCAGGAATAAACACTGTAGCCGCTCAAGCTGGCACCAGCCTCAGAGTACTGGGAACACAGAATTAGAATGAGTTCTTTCTGATACAACACAACTACCAGTTATTTGCTTTGTGAAGTTCATATTCTGTAAGCAGAACATGAGGGTGTGAGACCCTTTTGTGTTAGGTCATTGTTGATTTATAGATTCATAAATAGAAATCTTCAGAGGCAAGGTTGTTGATGTGAGATTCATAAATGGAAAGCCTCAGAGGCAGGTTTGACATCTGATCAGGAATTCCATTTCTGACAACTCAAATGACTGTGTTCACTTGGCCTGGTCTTGACTTTATAATGTGTTTACACTGGATGGGAGGCTTTTATTTATATTGTCTCAATTGGGAATCTTAATATAAGATGTAGTTTTCAATTTTTGATCTGGATGGAGTTGCTGAGTTTTAGAAGGAATTAAGTTATTGGATAGAATTTTCTCAACTGAAATATTCCCATGGTCATGGATTGAACTGTGTCCCCCTCAAATGGTATCAACTTGATTGAGCCATGATTCTCAGTAGTTTGGCAGTTACATAAATCACGTGATCTGATGTGATAAGCCAATCAGCTGTAAAAGGATTAAGGGTGGGATGCAATCCCTTTAATCTTGTCATAGCCCTGATCTGATGTAAGGGGAATTACCCTGGGGATGTTTGGCCTATAATATCTTTTATCTTACAAGAGGTAAAAGAAGAGAGAAGTCAGCAAAGAGAGATAGGGACCTATTACTACTATGAGCTCTGGTAGCGTAGTGGTTACGAATCGGGCTGCGAACCACAAGGTCAGCAGTTCAAAACTACCAGCTGCTCCGCGGTAGTTTCTGCTCCCATAAAGATTTATAGCCTCGGAAACCCTGTACAGGGTCGCTATGGGCCGTAACCGACTCGACGTCACTTAACAACAACAACAATAACACTACTATGAAAGAAGAGCTGGAGGCAAAACATGTCCTTTGGACCCAGGTCTCTGTGCTGGGAGCCTCCTAGATTCAGGGGAACATTGATGCCAACTCACATAGAAATCTCCAAGGAATGTTGGGCTTACAGATGTTACAAGGAGACAAGGACATTCCTCCTAAACTGTGAACCAACAGAGAGCTGGCACTAGGAACCAGATTTCTAGTCTCCTAACTGTGAGAAAATACATTTCGGTTTGTTAAAGCCTTCTACTTGTGGTATTTCTATTATAGCAGTACTAGATAATGAAGACATTCACAATATATATTTTTTAACTGTTGGTGTCTAATCGTATAGTATATATGATATATCTGATATAAGCAGGTATCTCATTTAGCATCAATTTTATTTCTCATTATTTTAAGTTTAATACCTCTAAATTTCATGATGTTCTGAAAAGAGTGCTGGGCCTTCCAGGTGCATTGGCACTGGAACAAATCTGCATTTTTTTGATAAATGTCAATCAGAAGTAATCAAATAAATGGGAGATGAGTCACTTTTTAAAAAATACAGTGGAACTACTTGATAGCCACATGTAGAAAATGCAACTTAAATCTCGAGCTTCATATCCTGTATACAAAGTACTTTGCTGAGTACTTTAAGAAAAATGAAGACAAATATGACAAAGACCCTGCCTTCAGTTTACTAGAGACTGCTGGGCCTGCAGAGGCTAAAGCCACAAGTTAAAAGTCAATACTGCTGGATTCCAATTATTTTTAGTATAAGTCATTTTTTTTTCTTTTTTCTAAATGTACCTCTTTATTCTCATAGGCTACAATAAATTGCAGATGAGTTACATAGTTGACCATTTAAAAAATTCCCATAAAAATACCAGGAGGAAATGAAATTGTTAGTGACAAGAATGGACTCAATTATACTAAAGCAAAAATATTCTGTATGATGGACAGTAACAGAACTAACATGAAGGTAAGGGTAACAGAGTGATAAAACAAATCAGGAAATGTGAGTCTGCGATTCACACTGGAGAAAGGCTGAGA